CCCTGGCAGACTCCCCTCCAAGCCTGTCTGAGCAATCCGTATCAACCCGCCCGCCCCCCCCTTAAAATTTGATTAAAAACCCCCTGTAAAAAACCCCTAAGAAGTCTCTTCTTTGCATGCCACCTCTCGGGATCCCAAGATCCATCATTAAGAAAGCCTCTTGATAGGCAAGAAGGCCATCCTTGGGAAAGGGGGAGTTCCCGAAGGGAATAAAGTTCTGTTGCAGTATAACATAGAGGAGAGTATGGCATCAACCAAACAGGGTGACATCACGGGGAGATGGAATGGGGAGATGACATGTCCACGAGGGGGGGACAGCTGACAGTGTTCAAGGGGGTAGCAGGAAGCATATGTCCATCATAACAATGGTCGGTGTTAAGAACAATATGTAAGAGTAACAGCCAGATGTCAAAATTGCAGCAGATGATGAATTGCAAGGTGGCGAAGCGGCCCATAATGGCGGCGGTGAGGACAGCGGTGGCAGCAGTGACTGCTCCAACTTCAACAACTCCAACAGCTAAGCTCCGTCCATGCCAACCACACTCATATCCATCGCCAGGGCCGCACTCCATTGACCCAGTCCATATTGTCACAAGAGGAGGGGCCAAATGGCCAAATGACACAGTACGGTGGCCCAGGCAATGGCGGTGATCCCGGAGGGGGCCACAACGAAGGACACCCCCCCGCTCCATCCGTGCCCATGCCAACTACTGAAGCCATCTTCCGCTGTTATCAATATCCATGCCAGCTGCCTCAGCCACTCCCCACTGATCCAATTTATCATGTCCATAAGCAAGGAGGAGGGGGGAGCAATCGGGATAATACCACGGTGTGGGAGGCGGCAGCTGCAGAGACCCCAAGCCGGGCATCCCGCTGCCACTTCCGCTGACCACACCCATGCTAGCTGCAGACACCCCAGGCCGGGTGTCCCACCACCGCCGACTAGAAGCTGAAGATTGTATCCATAATTGTATCCATAATAATTGAAATTAATATCATGACTTTTGATGTTACTATAATTTAGTGCAAAGTAATCTATAACCTACTGAAGGCATGCAAGAGATCATACAACCTTGTATATGTTATACACTGATGATGACATCATCATCATCTCTTAAGTACCACCCAAGAATGGCATAGAACAATGCCATCAAAGTTCAGTTTTTTATTTGCTCACATTAAAAAACCCAGCGTTTTGCCAAACTAAACTTATGCTGCTCTCACTAATTGATATACCCTGTGAGTAGCTATCCTAACTCTCTTGCTCTGTCTCTGCCCCACACCCAAGCTGTGCTACCTCTTGTCTTGCCTGACTCCTTGGAATCTGTTTCATCCTTCCTGGGAAACTAATGCTTCACATATGTCCATCACACTGCCTTACCCTCCATAGGCACCATTCCTCACAGTAAGCTATTAAACAAAGCTGACATCAAAATACCCTTAACCAGAGTCTGTCTAGTCCTCAAATATCAGGTAATTCCACAGATCTAACCCTATGCCATTACCAGTTTTATGACATCTTGCTAGTTATTTACCTTTCCAATTTATTTATTTATGAATTAAAGTTATCTGACTGCCTAAAACCAACTGAATTCTAGGCAACTCATGGAATGTACATAATAAAAGCAGGACACAAAATCAAAATAAAGTGAATCAAAAACATTAACCAAAATAAAGGACTATAATTATAGAATTAAAGAAGTTTGTCCTACTATATACAATTCATTCCCATGTTTTCAGCTATTTCAAGGGACAAGCTACTGAAAAAAATCCTTAATTTTCTTTTGCTTCTAGAATGGCAATAATGTTGTATCCATGTATCCTCTTCCAGTTTCTTTCCTTCCAGCTCAGTTGAGACAGATTTATTGGTCCCTTAGAAATTACTCCACAATAAGCATATGTGCCACTTATGCTGACGAATAAGTGCACCAGCGTGCCTAAGGTCCCTGTCCTCCTGTCCTCATTTATTTGTACCCATTACCTGTGTTCTTATTCATGTTTCTTATTCCTGTTATCTTGTACATGAGTGACTAAATAAAGTAAAGTAAAATAATAAAATAAAATAAAATATTACCTGATACTGAGGGAAACTTGAGTGGTTGGGAAAAACAGGAGGTGGAGGGTAATTCAAACTCAGCCACATTGGTTGCTTTAATGAGGTAGTAGTTGAAGTTGTTGGAAATCGTGGGGTAAACACATTTCCGCTGTATTTAAGGTTGTTCTTATCGATAACTGTTGAAGTTGCTGTGAAAGATAAAAGACAGAATCACATCCTGGAATGTCAGATTCTTTTTTTTTCTAAATTGCATACAGCAATGTAATTGCAATGCAGATATGTTATGAAAATTAGGTAACAACTGTTTTCATCTTATATCAATCTCCTTAGGAGAAAGCTCCTATGAAATGCTATGGGATTTACTCTCAGGAGATTGCACATAGGCTTGCAAACTAAATATGCTCTTTCCTCCATTTTACATGATTCCTGCAGTCTTGAAGTGTCCTTCCCTCCATCCTTCCCACACAAACTCCAAGTTTGATCACCTCCTCCATTCTCAGACAGACCAACAGAAGACCAATTGCTACATGCATCTGAACAGTGGAACATAATGCAGAACAAAAGTACACAGCACACCCTACACTTCTAGTTCCCATTGAAATGCCAGCAAGATCATTATGCCCAAATGAAAAGAAGCCATTATCTTTATCTATCTCTGGGGGGCGTCAGTGCTACCAAAGTGTCATGGTCAATTAGTTCTGGAATATGGGAAGGAGCATACTGCTTCCCTTTTGCCTTCCAGCCCCACTCCAGGAGACTTCCAGGCAGTTGTTTACATGATAAACCATTTTGTGTTACATCATTGCTGATAAATAAATGAAGGGAGACTAGGGAACTTGGGCTGTTTTTACATATTAGGCAATTGTATTAACCTTTAAGTCACAAGCTCTCCTCCCTTATCATTCTCCCNTAGGTGGCCAAAGTATTTGAGTTTCATCTTCAGGATCTGGCCTTCTAAAGAGCAGTCAGGGTTGATCTCCTTGAAGAGTGATCGGTTTTATCATCTTGCAGTCTAAGGGACTCGCAGGAGTCTTCTCCAGCACAAAGGTCTCCAGTTCAAAGGTCTCCATTCTTTGGTGCTCAGCCTTTCTTACAGTACAACTTTCACAGCCATACATTGCAACTTGGAAAACCATAGCCTTGGCTAGATGCACTTTTGTTTGTTCTCTCTGCTTTTTAGTATGCTGTCTAGATTTGCCATAGCTTTCCTCCCCAGGAACAAGCATCTTTTAATTTCTTGGCTCCAGTCCCCATCTGCGGTGATCTTGGAGCACAAGAAAATAAAATCTGTCACTACCTCCATTTACTTCAATATTGCATTCTAACTACTGTGCCACCACGGTTCTTCTACACCCCTTGACTGACCTATTTTTGCCCTCAATCTAGTTCCCTGCATAACTTTGGGATTTTCAGTGATCACCCATCCAAATATTAAACAGGTCTTACCCTGCTTATCTCATACCTGGCTCTCTCAGGAACGTCGCAATTTCTTTTTATTTAATCAAAGGAGTCCCTATGCATGCAGAAATAGCACAATAATTTCTAAATTATATTATTAAAAGCTTCAGCAGATCTAGAAGATGTTGTAAGCAATTCAACTTATCAGTCGAATTCAAATAAAACCAAAAAAAATGATTGAGGAATATATTAATATATTTCAGCCTGCAATAGCTAAATGGAACAGTGGAATGCTGCAGATTTTGGGAAGGGGCAGAAATAAAAGAGCTCTGTTGTAATATTTTCTAAAGGATTCTCGTTTATAGTATTATTAGTATTATAGCTTTATTGATTAGCCTATAAGCCATATCAAAGCACAAGATTCAAACACATATCACCAATAAAATCCTATACAAACAATTTAAAATAACTACAATAGTTATAGGATAACATACAATATAATTTAATGCATAAATATGTTAAATAGAATAAAATGACATAAAATTATATTTGGGTGTCACCCTTACAATCTACTCCAATCAGCCCTATGTATGCAAATCTCAACCGAACCATTTTTTTAAAGTCCTGTGCTGTGTTAAATGTTATTTTCAGATTCTGGCCACACATAAGGTGTTTTGATATGGGGATCCTAATGGGTCCTTCGTTTGGCATATAGACCAAGGTATCTGCCTCCCACCCTCCTTATACAAGCAACAATCAAATAGGATGTGAGCCAAATCTTCTACCTCTGCGGCTCTGCAAATGCAGAGACTCTCATTGTAGGCTATAGAATGGAATCTCCCATATCTGACCATTGTGTCAACTGTTCAAATCTTGCTCACGTAAATATCTCTCTAAGATGTTTTATCAGTTGTAACTTCAAATAGCTGTCTGTTTAAAAAGTATGTTGTATTTGCTCAGCCATTTCAAGTTCCTCAGCTTACTAAAGATAGCTATATCATTTTGTGCTTCTATATCCTTCATTCTTTGGCAGCTCTTTTTTTGAATTAGTACATAACTCACTGCTTAAAACTGATTGTCCAAAGATGCTGTATACATCACTGGTATTCTTTTTTAAAATTTTTTAATTAAAAAA